GTGGTATCATCTTAAACCTTCTCCTTCCCCATCATGGGCAATTAGTGGTTTATCTGTCTCATAAGCTTGTCCGGACATCTCTTTCACAATCCCAAATTTTATGTCTTCCTTTATTCTCTTTTTTATTTCTTATTTTAGGGCCACATACTTTCCTCTGGTGACATTGTTTCGAGCCTCCCACCCCACCGGCAGAAACGCATCATTCAACTTTGAGTCATTTTGCTTCCTTTGCCTCCTCCCCAAGTTCTTCATAAATTTTTGTACCACTTTTAGAATGCTGCTGAAAAATCGATTTTTTTCACTTGCTGCTACCACTTTCAAATTCCGTGCTTTGACAAATAGCTATTCCTCTGCAAAAAGGTTCCCCTAGTTTTTACAAAGCCCTTGGAAAATACAAGGTATACCCACCAGCATTTACAGAACAGAAACGTGAAGAAATAATCATGCTTTTCCCATCTGCCACACTAAAGGATTTCTTTTACCAGGAAATCCCCTTATTCATCGAAAACCAAATTTGAGCTATAAAAATTAAATCTGCACATAATTTTCTAGAGTATACATCTCTGCTATGCAACAAGGAGTGTGATTATTGTTTAACTAACCACTTGCAATAGTGTCAAAAAGGAAAGTCAGAGTTTCAAAAGCTGCTTTTTATGGCATGTAGCATGTATTACTACCGGGATCCAAATCCCAGCACTGCCCCTTACTAAATGTGTTACCCCAAATTAATTAACCTCTCTGTACCTAAGCTTCCACATCTGCCCAAAAAAGGGGAAGGAAGGGATTATAACTAATCTATTTCACAGGGTTGTTGTTAGGATCGAATGGGACAAAGTATTAAAAATGGTTAAGTAGTGCCTGGCCTATAGAACACACCGAGCCTATGATAGCTATTACTGTAATAGGATTCTTAGGTTTCCTTCTTTCCTTCAACAGCACAAAGAATAAGAATAGCACCGTGGGACCTGACAGGTCTTCCTGAGCATGGAGTAAATTTTTACCTTGTCTTTCCGATTCCCCACTTAGAGATGCTTTCCTCCCACACTCCTAGCCCACCTGGTTTGGGCAGGGTCAACCTCCATGCGGGGCTCCAGGGATTGGCACGTGGTCCACCCCTCCACCATCCCCAAGGCGAGACAGATAGACGGGGCACGTGATCCAAGTGAGGCCAGAGAGAACCAGGTCCTAGGCACTGATGGAATGATGGTGACCCGAGCCTCTCTTTCTGTCAGGTAGATTATTAGGCGCAGCTATTAGTGGCATCTTTAGTAGCCATTTATAAAATCTTCCTGGAAACAAAATCAACACGGTAAAAAATAGCTGTGGGAGGCAAAGGGGAACCATTCCCTGAAAAGGAACGCAAGCCCTCGGATGCATACGGGTTACTCTGGACTGTCCAGGTACCTGTGCCGATGTTTTAAGCTTATGTCCAGTTTGAGCTGAGTTTTCTGTCACTTGCATCCCCAAAGTTCTGACACATACTAATGAGTCCTCATGACCTACGGCAAGAATTGAATGCAAATCTTGCTAATCTTGGTACCTCCGAGAAAGCAGGGCCAGAAGAAGGAAGAGCTGAACTGTAATCTTGGTTCTGTCTTCAGCCAGTTGGGGATTGCTGGGAAAACCGTTTCATCTTTCTGGGTCCCAGTGTGCTTGGATGTCAAGTGAGAGAGGTGAGTGAAAATCAATCTCTAAGATCCCTTTTCAGTTCTAACATTCTATGAGTCTCTATTATGCTTGGATTCGTTTCAGTTGCGAATACTGTGGTATAATTGGTTACCGATTCTAGTTATTTTCCTGCTTCTTTTTGTTTCAACTTTAAAAATATCCTTTTAGACCCTCAGTCTCTATACTCCAAGTGTTTATTCCCTTTTCTTCAATTTCCTTCTAAGGAAAATATATTTATTTTTGTATACTTGGGCATAATGATCCCATTTTCTTCTCATTTCTATATTTTTAAATCTAATTAAGGTGATAAGTTCCTTGAGGGTTGAAACTAGAGTTTTCCTGTGGGTGTAAACATTATTATTATTTTTTTTAATTGGCAACCAAGCTGCCAGTTTTTACAGAGCAGCAGGATATGGGTTTTAAGTAATGTAAGCAGGAAATGGGTCTCCAGCCCACACAAAATAAATGCAAAAGTACTGATTTACCCTGAGTCCACATCTGGCTTACTCATTTATAATTTCAGCCTAGACTAAAATTCTCCCACAGAACTGCAGTGTGACAGTCTTGTCTACAGAATGTCAGACCAAAAATGGAGTGTCAAGGGATCATCCTGTGGCTCTCACTTACGTATACAAAAAATCTGGCTATTTCAGGGCAATGTCATGATTTTCTCTTCCATGGTAGGGTTGGGGGGCCTGAACTAAGTGAATATTAGCTCTGCATCTTCACATTTATTGATTTCAAGTAATTCAATAGCTCTAAAGTTTGGAGGGATCAAAGAGAACTGGCTGAAATATGTCAACTGACCCATCATACACACACAGAACTTTCTGGAGGGAAAAAAAACACTCCCAGGAGGGATGGCAGGATGCCTCCCTGTCTGATGACCCAGTCCATTCTTGTTCATCAGCACCCTAAATACAAATAAGTCCCCAACTTCAACTGCTTTAATAGGCACCTCTTGGCAAAATATAATCAAATTAGCTGGAGGTGGAGGTTTTAGGGCCGGCTGGTTTAGCGATTTGATTCAGGGTTCAATTTCTGTCTATCTTTCCACTCTTCCAACCATAGTGCCTGCTTTGTCCTAGAAGTGACTTCCCTTTGAGTTGAAGGATAGCTACTATGGGCCCTTGGGGCTACTTGGTTCCTTGTTCACATGCATTAGGAATCGTCCCAATATTCTAAGCACATGTCTTGGGTTCTGTTTAGGTAATTTTATCAAGATAAAATTTCAAATTTGCTCAGAAGTTACAAGAATGAGAACCCCTGTACACCCTTCATCTAATTCACAATTCTTAGTATATAATAATATACAACAGTATATTACAATGCTATAATCTACAGTCCATATTCAGATTTCACTCACTGTCCCAATAATGTCCTTTATAGCTATTTTCCCCTCTGACCCAGGATCCAATCTGGTTTATGCATTGCATATAACTGGCATGTCTCTCTTAATCTGGAACAGCCTTTCAGTCTGTCTTTGCCATTCATAATCTTGGCATTTTTGAAAGGCACTTGTGTTTGTTTGTTTTTTTTAATTGGGTTATTTGCTTTCTATTTATTGAGTTTTTAGAGATTCGTATATTCTAGATACGAGTCCTGAATCAGATGTGCGATTTGTAAATACTTTCTCCTAGTGTGTGCCTTGTGTTTTCATTCATTTCATAGTAACTGTTGAAGAGCAGACATTTCTTATTTTGATGAAGTCTAATTTATCTTTCTCTCTTTCACGGATACCAAGCACAAGTTTTGAACTCATTCTCATTAGACTGGCCGAGGTTACAAATTCACACCATGAACCAGTAACAGAATATGACAGACTGGGACACAATAGGATGCTTGGCTTGAGTCAGCTGAATTGTTCCCAATCCCGCTGTTTTTCCTCAAGTATAGAAACCCAAGAAGTGGAAAAGCATATTAAACTCAGGGTACATTTAGGAAAGGTGAAGGATGGAATGGATGTTGGGCAACATCCTCTAGAAGCTACTCCAGGAAAAAGCCAGTCGACCACCTGAGCACCCTCAGGGCAGTGCTGCCTGGCTCTGGGGCCATTCCCTCCTCAGTCTCCCCACCATCCAATGGCCACATGTCCCAGTTCCAAAATCCAAGAGTCCTTGTCCTGTAACATGCATCTTTGAGCCAGCCTGTAAGATCGTGGCTGACGTACCCGGCTTTTTTTTTTAAAGAGAGAGGGAGTGAGAAAGCATGTGGGGGCGGGGTGGATGGACAGAGGAAGAGGGAGAAAAGAATCTCAAGCAGACTCCCCACTGATAGCAGAGGCTGATGAAGGGCTGGCTCCCTCTCACAACCCTGAGATGGTGATCTGAGCCGAAATCAAGAGTCAGTTGCTTAATCGACTCAGCCATCCAGGTGCCAGTACCTGGCCTTTTGTCTCATATCTTAGAGGGCAGGGACCATGTCTCAGGCATCACTAGCACCCCCTCACACCACAAGCCCGGTGCCTCACTCACAGTCTGCCTTCACCAAATCCCCAAGTCATGGGCTGAATGAGGAAGCAGCAATCACATTAGGTGCTTCACCATGCACACAACCGTATGTCTTCCTTTGGCCTGCCTGAGCCAAGCCATCTGCCCATCAATTTCCTGTCCCCTCCACGTGAAAGCACCAAAGAGAGAAATGCAAGTAATGAAGTTTTTTGTAGTGTACATACTGTCTGCATTAAATGATGTATATTTCAAGTCCCCATTATCAGATGTTTATGGACCACTAATTTTTAATTTACTAAAATGTTCTCTTTTGCATTAAAAAAATGTTTAATTATTTCGAGGAGGGGGTGGCTGGGAGGAAAAAAAGCTAAATCAAGTTTAGAAAAATGCCAACACACCGAGTTTCTAAATATTTCTCCCACAACAGAAGTTTTATGCCCCCTTCCCTTTGAAAAAGGGCTGGTTATTACTACTGTTAATATTCATGCCTCTCGTCTCATTTTTTTTCTCCCAGATACAGGCAAAACTTTTTGTTCGTACTGTCAGGATGGGGAAATGGGAGTCTCTAAGTGGCTATATGATATATCTGAGTTTCCAGTGGCTCTGAAACCCTCAGGGAGTTAGTACCGCTTTGGAATACAAATCTGCCATCAACAACACAGCTCCTGCCTTTTTTCCCAACTGCTACTCAAGTTTTATCTGAAAATCCCCACAGTTCTGTTTTCCTACCACCTCTTTTTACACCTAGCCTTGGCAATCTATCCTGAGTGTCAGGTCGAGTTCCACATACTATGTCCTCCACGACTTGATTTTGGAAGCTGAGCAAATCATATTTATAGATAAGACAAAGACAGAGAAAAAGTTTTTTGAACCTCCACTTACATTCTTTGGACATTCCCACTTCAAAGCACTTCTGGAGTCGACAGTATTGGCATCGATTCCTGGTGACTTTGTTAATAACACAGTTCTTATCTCGATGACAAGTGTAAATCATGTTCTTCTGAATACTTCTGCGGAAAAAGCCCTGCAAGCAAGCGAGAAGATGAGAAGACTAAGTAAAACTACCAACTTTCATGAGAAATCAAAGCCAGCCTTATCAATGCACGGATTGCTCGGTCTGACTCATGAAGTGATGGAAGCAGAAACGTTAACGTATTTGAGCCTTAAAATCTTTGGGAAATATTCATAGTCAGCTCTCCCTTTGTTTCTAATCAGAAAGCCCCTTTTAATCAAAACTAGACACGACCGTTATGATCTTGCTGAAGGAAAAATGAATACGAAGCTAATTCACTTGGAAAACATAATGCGGAGCTGGGTTCCCTCCAAACAGGCTTAACTTCATAAGCAGCTCCTTTGCTGGTCAGAAAAATTTCAGGTGAGCCCACTACCAAGAAACCCAACATCAGATGCACTACATTTGCAAAAGAAATGATAAGAGTCAGGGAAGAATGAGGTCTTTTCAAGAAAGTCTTTTCCACTTCGTTCCCGCATATTTAGCTCATTACAATATTTAAAATATAATTTAACTTATAGAGTATTTAGAAAAATATTATCCAAGATTGGAAATAAGGTATAAAAAGACTTGCCCATTTAATAGCACATTGGAGCAGTGCTGTCCAAAATGGTAGCCACTAAAAACATAGAGGTATTTAAATGAAAATTAATAACAATGAAATGAAATTTAAAAATCGATTCCTCAGTTGCACTAGCCACATTTCAAATGCTCAAGAGCCACAGATAGCTCATGGCTACCACACTGGACAGCCATCTGTATGGAAGATCTTCGTCATGGCAGAAAGTTCTGTGGGGCAGCACGGTTCCGAAGCACTGGCTTTGTGACAAGCTTACCTAAGAGTCCTCTGACACTCTTGGGAAATGTAACTTTGTTTGACCTACTATTTACGATTGATTGGACATGGGCTCTGTAAAGACTGGAGAAGGCTGATAAATTACAGATCTATTTGTTAAGGATAGGTGCAAAGATTTCTGTCTGGCTGAAATATAACCAAAGAGTATTGTTTTATTGCCTTGTAGGACATTAACCAGTTTTGTATCTGACTTTACAGTCTGATCCCAGCATTCTTTCTGCCTTTCACCATTATCTGCCAAGCAATCTACCTAGCCACCTAGATATTTTGTTCAAGTCCTCCTTTGAACCAGCTTTGCCATCCTGCTATTTCTCTCACTCTTGAGTTCAACAAATCTCCAACTACATGCTTCCTGAATATTTGAATGAGCTGTTACTTCTCAACTTTCTGAAAATTATATTTTGGCCAAAGCAGCAGTTTATCCCGATTTTTGTGAAATGCTGATGAAATAAAGCAGATTATAGTCTCATGAGCACATGGGTGGCCACCTTCTCCCCTTTGTCCTCCTCATTTCTCCCACACCGTTTGCAGACAATGGATAATCAAGGGCTGCTTGTTACTACACAGATGAATGAGCAGTGAGTGGAGGGCATACCTGATCTCTTTTCTCTCTCCTAACTGCCCAACAAAAACCTCTAAATTGCTAGGAGTATTAAGAGCAGGGAGCTTTCCCTTCTCAACTGTGATGTGACTTTTACCTACATTAGCAACCATTCTCTCAGACGTAAGAAACACACCACGGAATGTGCTAAACAGCACACAAGGCTCACCATCTGAGTTCAGCTTTCCCTGTCGTGCATTAACACTCTGGGAACCAGAACTAAAATCATTTAAAGCTAAAGCACATTGACAAAGAAAGCTCATGTAACACCCATTGTTTAGGATATTTACGTGGGCACCCTAGGATTTTAATGTCTAAATAAACATATTTTTACTGGCATAGTTCAACTGTAAACGCCTGGAAATCTTGTTTAAGGTTGCAACTCCTGTCACATCCCAGACACATACCTTTTCCAAGAAAACACAGTTTATTTTGGTACTTCTGGAGCTACAAATATGCCCCAAATCCAAAATAACAGGTTACCAATACTCCGAACCTCTAAGAGAACCTGTGCAGGGTGGTCACCTCAAACATATCTTTTCAATGCAAAAAATATACCTACAGGACACTTCTGGCTGCCAGATGAACAAACTCGATTTACAGAAACTGCAGGGCTCTCCTGCCAAGAAACACTGACCCAATGGAAGATCTGGTCTTTTCTGCATGTTCAAAGCAAGTGAGGTATGGACAAAGGTGACCCCCTCCATTTATTAAAAAGCTAAATATTCAGTTCAGCAAATTCTTAGTGAGTGACCAAGAGGGGGAGAGAAAACAATGCCATGATACTCAAATGAAAGAAGAAAGAGGAAAAGAACTTTCTGTGTCATTAGTTATCCACTCAGTCAGGTTCAGTAACAACGTCGGCAGAAACTAAATAGGTCTTCTTGGTTTTCCAAATCAGGTTTTTGGCTAGATATCAGGTGAAGGTCTAAGTTTCAGTAAATCATTTCCACCATGGTACGATACTTGCTGACTAATATATATGCTGGGAGGCATTTTTTATACGTGGATTGGGTAAACAGAAGAGCCCTCTGAGGCCAAAGAGAGGTTTGCATTCTACAAATCCTCCTCCCAGTAGATGTGAGATATTATTATTTGAACCTTATTTCCTCATAGACCACTGCTCTGAGACCTAGTGTGTGCCTGTGTGTGACATGGTAGCCCCAAGCCACCTCAATTTTATCTACTTAATATTTTTACTGAGGCTAATTCTTCTTTTTATTTTTAACATTACTTAAAATGGAGGAAGACCGTTAATCTCTGGCTTCATTTGAAAACCAGCACTGAGGGACCTTGGGTGGCTCAGTTGTCGGGCCTCTGCCTTCGGCTCGGGTCACGATCCCAGGGTCCTGGGTTCAAACCCCGCATCGGGTTCCCTGCCCGGTGGGAAGCGTACTTCTCCCTCTCCCACTCCCCCTGCTTGTGTTCCCTCTCTATGTCTCTGTCAAAAACAAACAAGCAAACAAACAAAAAAACAAAAACAACAACAAAAAAAACAACTTAAAAAATAAAGAAACCCAGTATCGACTGTCAATATTAAAAGGCAAATATAACACAAATAAAATGAAAGTCAAGCAAAATAATAATCAGATATTATTTCACTCACTGGATACTAAATCTGCTAAGGGCTTAAAACCCCAGACGGTGTCACTTCATGCTGAAAAGGGAGCTAAGCAAGTGTTAGAGATAGCTCAGCACTGACTTGAGATTTCCTCTTTGAGGAATTCAGAGAAAATGTTTCTTATTATGTGGTTCAGTGAGATATAAAGCCACGAATCTGTGCCACCTAAAATTGGAACCTGCACACTTTGAGAAACAAAGTCTTGTCAAATATAAAAATGGGCTTTAAAAGTGCGGAGTCCAAAGCGTGATAGTCCTTGAAGCAAGTGGATGGGCAGAGACATGCCTAGAGGAGAAGACACTGAAAAGTTGAGTGTGTAAAAGCAAGGACTGGGCCCCATTTGGAGGAGATGTCTGGGGAGTGGGGGGAGGAAGGAGAGAGAAGGGGTAGGAGGCAGGAGAAGAAGAGCCGTGGAGAGGAAATCCAAGGGCTGGATCGCAGCCTCCTCACGACCACTGTGTGGCCTTGGGCACCTCAGGCCAAAAAGGCGAAGCTCTCTCCTCTCCTCAGTGAGGGGCTGGATGGCTGACTTCCAAGATCCTATCTAGCTGTACATTTCTGGAATTCCAAGTGCATCTTCACACCAGTGACAAGGTGGGATGTCTTGAAAGCAAGGATGAAAAGAGTTTCTGTGAGCAAAGAAAATGGCCAAGGAAGAGGTGGTGTTTGAAAACTAAGGAAGAACAGGTCCTCTACCTGTACAGGCAAAAACTACAACTTGCGGGGGACCAGCCTAGAGCTGCTGACACTACAACTGTATTCTTTGGTGCGGGGGCAGAGGGGGTAGAAAGAGAAAATCTTAAGCAGGACCCATGCTCAGTGCAAGCAGGACACAGGGCTGCATCTCACAACCCTGAGATTACGACCTGAGAAGAAATCTAGAGTTGGACACTTAACCAACTGAGCCACCCAGGTGCCCTGCCTCCCCAATTTTATTCTTGCTTTCCTAAAATATCCTTTGCCCAGTAAACCCAGAAAAATTCTGTCTTCAGGATGTATGTCACCTCATCCAGCCTTCTCTGAATGATCCAAGCACACATAAACGCTTCCTCTTCTAGGTAACCTTGGTATTTTGTTTGTCTTTCTATATTATTCCAAATCAAGTATAGTATTTAAAATATTAAACAATAGCCCTGTTTACTTCAGAGGCTACCTGAGCAACATGGAAGAATGCTAGCCTGTGGCCAGCAGTCACAGCCTTGGGGAGCCAAATGGGTATAATAAATTTCTACAACGGGGTGTCACCGTATCACCAGCAGTTGTGACATCTTCTTTGCGGACCCCCTGACAGAGAAGAAGCAGGGTCATGGAGACCAGCTTTCCCAGAACTAAAGTGGGCAAGTTGCTGGGCTCCCACATGGCCTCAAAGCAGTGTTTAATGTGTCTTCCCCGGAACCAAGACAGTGGACTTGGGTGGGGGAGAGAAAGACGTTTTGGTGGCAATGGTTACTTGACAGATGGTAGGAAAGTATTTTAATATTTCAACACCTAATAAAACTGTATGAGTGCATGAATATCCCCAGTACTGGGACAGTGGATTAGCATGGGAGATAATAAATAGTTGTTCAATGAACAAACGGATGATGATGCCCTCAGCTCTAATCAGAGACAGAGTGAGACTCCTGGATGTACTATGCCTTAATTCCATAAGATATTCACCCACAGTAACGCATTCCCTGAGGAGGATATTGTCCGTACTTAAGAAAGTGAGCTGCCAGACTTCTCAGAATTTAGTAGAAGACCCACTGGGCTGAGATGTAATCAGCTTAGACAGTCAAGACTTCTGGGTTGACATGGTTACATGTCAACCATCATTAACATGGATTCATGTTGGTTAGCTATGATTTCTGTCATTGATCATAACTTCTGTTGGTTAATTTTTATTTCTCTGTGACTTTTGGTGGTAAATCAGGACTCCTGTGGTTTCGGAGAAA